AAAAACAGAACTGGTCAACCCCCCCCCCCTTTTTTTTTTGGTGTGGAGGTAACTCCTTCTCCTGTTCTCATTTTTTTCCTTGTTTCTTTTTTGGTGTGTTTGTTTGTTTATAATTTGGAGTTCAGTTCAGTTCAGTTCAGTTCAGTTGCTCAGTCGTGTTTGGCTCTTTGTGACCCCAGGAACCACAGCACATCAGGCCTCCCTGTCCATCACCAACTCCTAGAGTCCACCCAAACCCATGTCCATCGAGTTGGTAATGCCATCCAACCATCTCATCCTCTGTCGTTTCCTTCTCCTCCTGCCCTCAATCTTTCCCAGCATCAGGGTCTTTTCAAATGAATCAGCTCTTCGCATCAGGTGGCCAAAGTATTGGAGTTTCAGCTTCAGCATCAGTCCTTCCAATGAACACCCAGTCCTGACGAACCGGTTGGATCTCCTTGCAGTCCAAGGGATTCTCTAGAGTCTTCTCCAACACCACAGTTCAAAAGCATCAATTCTTTGATGCTCAGCTTTCTTTATAGTCCAACTCTCACATCCATACATGACCCCTGGAAAAACCATAGCCTTGACTAGACAGACCTTTGTTGGCAAAGTAATGTCTCTGCTTTTTATTATGCTGTCTAGGATGGTCATAACTTTCCTTCCAAGGAGCAAGCATCTTTTAATTTCATGGCTGCAATCACCATCTGCAGTGATTTTGGAACCCAGAAAAATAAAGTCAGCCTGTGTCCACTGTTTCCCCATCTATTTGCCATGAAGTGATGGGACCAGATGCCATGATCTTAGTTTTCTGAATGGTGAGCTTTAAGCCAACATTTTGGAATGAAAACTGACCTTTTCCAGTCCTGTGCCCACTGCTGAGTTTTCCAAATTTGCTGGCATATTGAGTGCAGCACTTTCACAGCGTCATCTTTCAGGCTTTGAAATAGTGATGCTTTGAAATAGTTTGTAGTGATGTTTCCTAAGGCCCACTTGACTTCACATTCCAGGATGTCTGGCTCTAGGTGAGTGATCATACCATGGTGATTATCTGGGTCATGAAGATCTTTTTTGTACAGATTTCCTGTGTATTCTTGCCACCTCTTCTTAATATCTTCTGCTTCTGTTGGGTCCCTACCATTTCTGTCCTTTATTGAGCCTATCTTTGCATGAAATGTTCCCTTGGTATCTCTAATTTTCTTGAAGAGATCTCTAGTCTTTCCCATTCTATGGGGGCTGTAAATCTCTTGAAGGTCAACCTTTTGTCACAATGAGGTCAGTATTTTTCTTTTGTTTTCTGAAGATCTTTGGACAAGCAGAAAATTAGGCATCTTTCCTAAGGTAGATCATGTGCCTCCTTTTACTTCAGAGTTCTTTTACCAGAGAAACTCCTATTTTATTCAAACTGTTGGTCAGATTTACTCTAGATATATGATCTGCCAGAAAGACCCTTTGTTAATTTCTTCTCAAAGTAGTATAGTCTCATTGAGTAAGATCTGGAATTGTAGTGGCCCCCTCTGGCTTCTTGGGGAAGTCAGAGTTGTGAGTGTGGCCCCTGAAGAAGAAAGGGCATTAGAATAGCCATCATACCATGGGCAATCTACCTCAGTTTGAGGTAGGAGATCGATGGGCCCCTGGTATGGACAGCTGGTATTTGTCAAATGTAGTAAAACCAAAGCTTTGTTTTCCCCCAGCCAACCTAAGGACAAAGCCAGTGGCAGAAGCCGAACTCTTCTGAAGTAAAGAGAAAAGGGGACCACTCCTAAAATCAAGGAAAACCTCCCTGTCTGCACACGTGCAGGAAGGTTCCTTGGGGTCAAAAAGGATGGAGGTACCACCCTGTAATAAGTGTGGACATACCCCCACAGGCCTCAGGAGTGGAATCCATCTTTGCAAAAACTTGCAAAGGCATGCTGGGGAGGGTCCTAGGGCAGGTCAGGTGTGAAAAAAGATAACTGACCAAAGGTAAACAAGGACCCAGAAGGACTGTCCCACTTAAGTGATTTAAATCACCTCTGACTGCCGCTTCCTTTAGAGAGGACAACCTCTCGCTCTCTCTCTTGTCTCTCCCAGTGTGTATTTCTGCTTTGTTTCTGTCTTAAATAAACAAACTGCTTCTCTGTGTGCTCTCCCATTTATGCTGTGTCTCTAAGAATAAACTGTTCCTGCTTTTGTGTTCTTGAAACATTCTTGCTTTCAAATGGGGGCTAGAGCCAGGGGGTCATTGCTCCCAGCCTCTAGTCACTGGTGGTCCAGTGGTGAGGATTTCTGGTTTTTCACTCAAGTTACCCAGGTTCAGTTCCTGGGCAGGGAACGAAGATCTCTTAAGACCACTCCCTGCTATCTCTTCAAAATCAAGGTGGTGAAAAAAAGCCAAGAAATGAAAGATTTTGAGTAGATTCTAATATTCTGTGGCCTCTATTATGTAACTTTCACCTTGCTTCTTCTGCTTTTTCCGTAGAAAAAGACCTTGTCTTTCTATGTCTTCGTATGTTTGTGTGTCTCACAATCCCACTCTTTTCTCAGCTTTCTCCTATCCTTACCTCTGTTTTCCTTTCTGCCCCGTTGATTCTCTTCTTTATTTTGTGGCACTCCCTCTTATTTTGTTCTGGAATTCCACCCTTTCTTGATATGTCACAGCCCTAGCAATAGGAAAAAGAAAATCTTCTAGGGCTCTTTCCAAGTGTGTCTGCCCTTGTTTGCCTGGGAATAATCAAACTGTGTTAACTTGGCTGTAATGATTTGATCTGACGTGTCTGACACCAATTAGAAACTGCTTTTAAGGAATACTCATGTTGGGCCTTAACACAGGACAGCCACCATTTAAAAGTATGGCCTATACCTAAAATATCTAATGCTGTTCAGAAACATAAAATAGACGGGAGATCACACCTGTCCTCAATGTAAAACACTTTTGGTCAACATTTTTGGAGATAGCATGGTAACCAACAAGAAAACCATACACCATCAAGTGTATGGTACTACAAATTAAACACCTTGAGAGAAGCAAAAGGTCTTCCACCAGTATAAAAAATCACTAAGGTTATGAGTAGATATCAGAAAAATAGAAATAAAGAGAGGGAAAAAGTGACAAGGACCACAGCTATCATGTTTTGGCAAATTGCCTGCTCATTAGGCCTGCAAATGGGCTGTCCACACCCCCACCCCCAGCCCACCTGTTTTCATCAAGTGTCTTTGGGTCAAAAGGAAATTACCCTGTTAGTAAATCGTTATCCAACTCAATTTTAATAGACATTTGTGCAAAGAGCAAATGCAAACACATGTTTGACAAGGGTATAGTTAACTGATTCTCAGATCTGTCATGGATTAAAATCCAGATTTCTCTACCAGATGAACCTCATGGATGAGAAGGGCTGCCTAAGAGAACTCTGTAAAAGTTGGGTAAATTATGATTAAACAACAATGTCCTATGTATAGCATAGAGAGCTATATTCAGTATCCTACGACAAGTCCTAGTGGAAAAAATACTTTAAAAGAATGTGTATATATATGTTGTATATATATATATATATATATATATACAACACACACACACACACACACACACACACACACACACATATATATACACTACTGAATCACTTTGCTGTATGTCAGTAATTAACACAGCATTGTAAATCAGCTATACTTCAATTAAATGGAAAAAAGTGGATAAATGAAAGTGTCACAGGGTGGCTATTCCATTGATTCTCTTCTGCTACATCCATCCTTCCTCTTCCCTTAGGTAGCTACATCATCTGGATGCCATCATCTGGATGCCAGATATTTTCAGAAAGGAATTTGATACAAGATCTGAGATATATAAATAGCATGAATGTAACACATCTCACTTATGAGACCTGCTTCTAACAGTCTCTTATGAAGCAATTGCGTCCTATTTCCTTTTGTGTAAATTTTTGTTTCTGTATATACATCAGGCACTCAGTTCTACCTGTACTTTTTAGACAGGTCATGCTTAGCCAAGTCCTATGATCTAATGTGAGATGCTATGACATTAATAACTAGGGGCTGCAAGAAGTAACACAGCAGTGATCAATGGCGTCTTGGTTGATGGTTTTACAATGAGATATCAAATGCCAAAGTCATTATACTTGAAACACCTCTGTTTTAGCACAACCCAAGAGAACAATGAGAATGATAGTGTCAGCATTTTTTAAGTGCCTAACATATTCCAGGCCCCACTTAGGTCCTTTCTTTGGACCGTCACAAAACTCCAGGGAAGTACATTTCACCTCTCAGTCTAAAATGTCAGATATAACGTTGATCCCCTGGAAGCCTAAGACTTTGGGCAAGATCACATACTTGGGGCTTCCATGGTGGCTCAGTGGTAAAGAATATGCATGTCAATGCAGGAGACCCGGGTTCCATCCCTAATCTAGGAGGATCCCACATGACATGGAGCAACTAAGCCTTTGCACTAGAACTATTGAGCCTGTGCCCTAGTAGAGCCCTGAAGCTGCTGCTGCTGCCCCCATGTGCTCTGTGTTCCACAACAAGAGAAGCCACTGCAGGGAGAAGCCTGTGCACCACAACTAGAGTGTAGCCCCTACTCTCGGCACCTACAGAAAAGCCCGTGAAGCAACGAAGACCCAGCACAGACAAATATAAATAAATAAAATTATCTACTTAGCAGGCTGTTGAACTGCTGTTGATATTCATATGCCAATGACATGGAATTTTTGATCTTCCTACTGCATCAGTCAGTTTGTCTCTTATTGCTATCTTTTATGTCTGGCTTGTTTAACACTATCAAAAACACAAACCAGTAACAAAATTTGTACCTAATCAACCAAGGAAAAGTCTAATAAACTACTAAACAAGGGCATGCCAGTTCAAACAAGATGTGTTGCAGGCACATCCATGAAACATCAGTAACCACAACATAAATAAGTACAGGTCCTCTTGTTGGTTGGAATCTAACAGTTCCCATTATCATTGAGAGGAGTAGTAAGACTAAGACCAGATATAAAATATTAAATGCATTTAACCACACAGATCCCTTTTAAATTGCCAAGTCATTTTATTTGAAGATAACAACTTGGGAATTATCAGTGTGATTATTGATCATTTCTCCCAGTAAGTGCCAGTGTGATTTTCTCCATTTTGTGAACTCCAGTTTTATTTACTTGGGCTCACGGGATTTTCCTCCAACAGTTTGTGTATCATCCTCTTCAAGTATATCTTTTACGTAGTAAGTGGCACCCATAAATGCTGCAAAGAAAAGAAGGCAAAGGCGAAGAAGCAGTAGAGTTAATGATTTGTTTAGACTCAACCTCAGACTGGCTTGAATACCTACTTCTTTGTCAGGTGGAATACCACTATCTACACTGCCACCTGGTCCTCTCTCAGTACAATTTGGTGGTTTCCAACCTCGCTGACAGTGACAATGTTTATTGCTGTTGCACACCCCTCTGTAATTGCATTTCTTGACATCACAGTCAAAACCCAGGTCTTGAAAAAAAGTACAGTTTTGGTTCTTACAGTATGCTCCTGGGCCACAGTTTGCACCATCCACTACAAGCCCCATTTCTGGCACATCTGTCCCGAAGTGGTCGTCATACCCAAAGCAGGATCGTGGTGTAACATCAGGTACTATTATATGATGAAAAGTAGTGTGCTCCCCACCACCAGGAATTTTCTTCACATCCCCACAGTGCAGCATTCCACACAGAACATCATCTTGCTCACATGGTACAGATCTTCCTCCTCCTCGACCCACCCTCACACCACAGTTTCCAAATCGGTCGCCCCTGATATTCAGTATGTTATAGCATGCTGGCGCAGCCTCTTTTATGTTATAGCCAAAGAGGGCTTGACACTGTAAATCACGGTCACTACAGTTTCCCTTCACACAAACAGCTGATGGTGAACACGGGGTTCCATCCTGGATGTAAGTGTCAGCTGGACACTCATGTGTCTTCCCGCTACAGTATTCTGGTAGATCACAGATACCAAGAATATCTCTGCACGTATATCCAGGTTGAGCATATTTACACTTTCTGCAGCAATCTCCATAATCACAATCACTGCCAAGGGTGAGGACACAATTGGAATTGCAACATACATCCTGAGTACAGTCTTTGAGGGTGCCACAGTCACATTCTTCGTTGGGATCTCTCTTCTTGTCACCACATCGTCTTGCTTCATAAGGAAAATTATTGTATGGTACATTTGGGATACTCAAACAAGGATCCCACGAATGTATCCGTCTGTGAATGATGTTATAAGTACAATTACTCATCATATCTAGAAGACCCAGATTAGCATTCATGAGACAGTTTTGTCTCCGAAAACATCGACAACCTGTAATATCATGAGGAGCACCCAAAACATGACCTATTGCATGTGCTGCAATAGTTGCAGTTAAAAATATGTGGTATCTTGGAGCATATACATATGATGCTCCCCAATTGGGATTGCATGCTCCGTTAAAGCTGCTACCATAGAAGGCCCCAGCAATTTTATGTCCTGTTATAAGCAATGAAGAATCATGAGGAATTTGATTAAAAAATCCCCAAAATTTCCATAAACCAAAGTCAGTTACTGCAGATCCAACACTATTATAGCTATACAAATCCATCTGATCGTGGCCATCCCATATACATATAACACGTATCAAAACCTGAAGTTGAGCCTGGTAAAAAATACTATGCAATATGTTATTTATAATCACTATATTCTCTACTATATGTGTCTTATTAGTGTCCTGAGCATATAATGAGTTAGAAACTGTGTAGTGAAGTTTTAAGCCTTTCCTGTGTGGCCACCACAAATACACAGGGCCTGCTCTAGGCATTTCAGAAATCATTGCCTCCTCATACTCTTGATTTATATCTTTCTCTTCAGTCTCACATTTCTCGTCCTCTGCTGCTGTTTTCTGTGTCACAAGCTGAGAAATCAGATGCTCAAATTTGGAAGAAGCCTCCAACGGTTTGATTTCGTAAGTGAAGTCGTCCAGCTGCAGCATGCCACGCAGACCCCCGTGGCAGGTGTCCAGTGTACCCATGGACCCAGGAACCCCTTCCAGATAGCTAAAGTGGTAACAGTCTCGGGGGATATAAGGGTAGTTCTCTTGCATGGCACCTTGGTCATTATTGGTGATCACAGGAAAGTGTCTGGGCAGCAAGCTCTTCTTGACTCTCAAGTGAACCACGTGTCTTTGGCCGCTGAAGCGAATCTTGTAGGAGAGCTGGCCTTGTCTCTCAATTCCACTCACTCTGTGGGACACCTTCCTGGGAATCACAATTTCAGAAGAAGTGAAGCGCCATCCTGGTGGATCATGGGAACAGCAGGCTGGAAACAGGAATAGCCAGAGCAGAGGCAGCCAGAGATCACCTCTCAGGTGGGCCTGGGTCCAGGCACGCCCCATGAGTGAGGAAGTCTGTGACCAAAGAAAATGCGCTCCGGTGGGAGGCAGGCAAGACTATCCCTGGAGCAGCAACTTGTAGATAGCAGGATAGTCCTGAGGAGAGCAGAGACAGACTGGAGGCTAGGCAACCCCAGAGAGGTGGGGGAGGGAGGGGAAACTCTTACATAACAATGTGTCCTCATGAAGGGGAGGGGCTGTACTGAGTGGTCCTAGGGATCCTAACACAGGGGTGTTAGGGAACACAAAACATGGCAGAAATTAGGAAAAACAGAGTGCATATCTGGGCTGAGTGGTACCATGGTCCTTTGGAAAAGTCACAGGGGAAGAATCAGGGGGTTTGAGACAGTGATTGACTTTTTGCCCTCAAACCAAAATGAGACAAGGCTTCAATTTGTAATGAAAATACAACATGGAGAAGAGAGTGGAAGCTTCTTTTAGTCAGACTTTTGAGGAGAGAATCAAATTCTTTCATACTTTACAAACGTGGAATGTGTTGGGGGTGATGAGTGGAACAAAACAATAGTGTCATGAGTAGAAATGTGAGGGTGGATAATAATAGTTCCTTATAAAGTTAAAATTATGCCTGCCCTGTGTCTTGGTGATTCTAGCCATAGAAAGTTACCACAATGATTCTATATACATATTCATAACAGCATTATGCTTGAATTTATTCCATAGACTGGAAACAAGCAAACAGTACTGAACAGATGAATGATGGACAGACTGGCATATTCGTTCAGAGGGAAAATCCTCAGTAAATCCGAACAAGTTTCTGATATGTGTACGATCATGGATGTATCTCATAGATAATATGATAACAGAAAGAAATCAGACCAAAGAAGCTTTACATAGGACTTCCTTTGTATGATGTTCTGAAATAGTCCAAAGAGATATATGGGGAATAGAATTTTAATCAGTGCTCTCCTGATGTGAGGGAATGGAGGGATGGAGGGAACTTTCTGGAGTGATGGGAAACTTCTGAATCTTGGCCTGGGTTGTGTTCAAGATGAACATTTGCCTCCGGAGTCCACATGTTGAAATCCAACCCCCCCCCCCCCCCCGCTCCAGGTGATGGTATTAGCAGTTGGGGTCTTTGGGAGGTGATTGGTGCTTTTACAAAGAGGCCTCAGAGAGATCCTTCAACCCTTCTTCCCTGTGCGGTTACAATGAGAAGGTGCCATCTATGAACCAGGAATGGTTCTCACCAGACTGAATGTACTGGTGCTTTGTTTTTGACTTACTGGCCTCCAGAGCTGAGAAATAAAGTTCTGTCTTATGTATAAGTCACTTAGTCTAAGGTATTTTCCTGACTTGACAGAACATAACATTAAAAAGTCCATCCCTGTTATGAAGTAGCGGAGAACATGGCTGGAGTGTGTTTGTGTCCTAATGATTTGTGGAATGTAGCACTTCCAGTCGTAAGTTGGATATTTAGTTGGGGATATACCTCAACAAAGTGCTGGAGAAGTGGCTGGGTTATTTCCTTTTTCTATAAGCTTCTAGTAAAATGTAGGAAGAAAAAGGCGATTTAAAGATTAAACTGTTCATCAAAGAGCAGTGGAACTTAAAAGATTTGGAAAATTCCCAGGCCATTCATACAGAAAATATTGAGAAATCATGGTCTGAAAAGAACACTATGAACGTGGCCAGAATCCACTTGATTAATTAGTCTTCTCCAAAACAGAACAGGAGCTATGTACAAGACAATAGGAGAATGACCCTCTTGCCCCACAGGGTGATCCAGGGATCATTAGATCAGTTTCAAAGGAGGAGTCTCCAGTGCCTGCAGGATCTTGTCATGCCGGGTCAGACTTGCCTCACTCCTGGGCTCCTCCACCATCCCAGCAGGACAGACAACAGTAGCCACTCTTCTGTAAGGTACAGGCAGCTGGTTTCGGCAGTGTCCACACTGGGCAGTCTCTATCAATGTGCAAATTCCACCGAGATTTTGAAGGATGGAGATTACTGGAGCCAAGGGCTCATGACCTTTGAGAAGCAGGGCTCCATAGAGAATACACAATAGGGCACTGCCCAGCAGAGCCATGAGGGCAGGCCACTTCAGAACCCCAGACTAGTGGAACCATTGCACATTATTTCAGCCTTGGGCATTCGACTGTAGCCCATGAGAAGTACAGCGTGGGCTATGCCCTGCGAAGTGATGGGGTAGGCCTCCAGGAGGCCTGGGTGTCCAACCCAGAACTGCCACCTCAGTGTGTCTGGAAGGCAAGACCTTCACTCCAGTGAGTCAGGGAGTGGGACAAAATCCCCAGTGTGCCTGGAGGGAGGAAAGAACACGGAACCAAAGAGGATTAATTAATCTCTTGCTTTAAGATTTTAGACATATGTGGAAACTGTCACTCCTTTCTTCCCTCCTATTTCTCCCTTTTGGAATGGGAGTGTCTATCTTATGCCTGTCCCACCATTGTATTTTTGAAGCATATAACTTTGGTGACCTTTTACAAAAATTATTCAGGAAGTTCCCTGGTAGCCTAGTGGTTAGGATTCTAGGCTTTCACTTCTGTGACCCAGGTTCAATCCCTGATCAGGGAACTGAGATCCTACAAGCCACGCAGAGTGGCCAAGAAAAAATTATTCAGAAATATCCATATATAATTGAAAGATAAAAATTGAGACTTTGACAGAAGGTGGTTTGAATTTATCTGGGCCATTATGTGACTGATGTCATCTTTTAATCCTCTTTTCTTCCTATTTGTTCCTGTCAGGATCTCCCAGTGTCCAATGTAGCATCTCACTTATTTTTGAGTGATATAAAGTTCTGGAGACTTAGAAGTCTGAGATAAGGATGCCATCATGTTTCGAGTTCTGACGCAAGCTGTCTTCAGGGTTGCAGGCTGCCAAATCCTCCTTGTATCTCTGCATGGCTTAAAGAGACATGTGTGTATGTGTGTCCCATAATTTATTGCACCTTCAAGATCCTACAATGTAGACTCCTCTCCCAGGGAAGCGTCTTTCAGAGAGAGAACCATTATCCATATGACTTGTTCATTTCCAAAAACAGCTGGAATCTTCCTCTTGGATTTCTCACTCTTGGCTTCCCATGTGTACATGTGATAAAACACTGTACATGGTGATGTGATATGAGGGCTAGATGCCCGAGTGCGGTTGGTGCACACAGTACATTGAGGCTGCCCTTGTTAAAACACTGCAGGAAGCATGCTGTGGGAAAAGGCCACAAGGTCATAACATGACGCATCCCCATCAGATTTCCAAACTGGCAGTGACTCAGGCACATACTCACTACAGTCATGGGAAGTCACCCCCACAGTTTTTAAAAATATTTTCTTTTCCACTTCCAAGGTAATCAAGGGAGAAAAAAGAGAAGTTACTATGTTATCAGAGAGTGGAAGGTATTTTGTTGAATAATATAAAGCATTTACAGTTTGGCACTGTGTCACCTTATATATGACAGGATGTTGTAATGAGACATATTGAATATTCCAATAAAACTGTTGTGATTATAGCCTCCTAATAGAACCCCACATTTTTTTCAAATAAAAACTAACAGTATTTGAATATTGATATCGTTATTCCTATTTTGCCAAAAAGAAAAAATAGAACATGAATAACCTACCTACTGGTCAGGAAAAAATGTTTATAACCAAAAAAAGAAAAAAAAAACCCACAAAAGAAAACAATAAATCTTGATTCACCAAGAGCTGTTGACTGGTAAAATCACTTAAATTGGATATGTCAGTGGGATTTTACCAATAAAGTAATTCCTAAACTCTACAGTTACAGAATACTAAAAACATACAAAAGTGCTGTTTTTATAGACAGCATAACTGAAATATAGTTTAACCAATGGTTTACAAGGTAGTCAAATACCACAACAGCAAACCATGGAAGGAGTCATAAATTAAGTGTTTCCTACATGTCTGAAAAGCTTTCAGCTGGGACCAATCTTGTGTTTTTGTCTTTGAAGGATGACTGCTGTAAAATGACCATATTCATTAGCCTGACCTCTAAAAAGCAATAAGCTTAATTTATAGAATGAACAAATGAGCAAATTTTCTGTTGTTCTCAAAGTATAATACAATCCCTTTATTTAAGTGGAGGGTATCGGAAGTGAAAACCCACGGTGTGAATCTCCCTCTCACTTCAGGGATGAGGGCATCGAAGCCCAGAGAAACACAGGAACTTGGCCGAGATCAGCTCAGCAAGGCCTCTGATTTCCCGTTCAGAGGGAGCTGGGGCTCTGGGATGGTCCTTTCCCCCTGAGTTATAACATCGTAACAGACTTGCTCTGGGTGAGTATGTAGCAGATTTGGAACTCTTAGATCCTATCTATACCTCAGCTACAGTTTCTCTTCTTTTCCAGGAGATAAGGGTCACTTGTGTTGAATGGTTTCCCAGGGAGTTGATCGCTGTACAGCAACTCTGAGATGCACTCTTTGCACCTTCACCAAAAATCTCCCTGCACTAAAGCACTGTCACTACAGGGAATCCCGTCCTGCACGTGGACATCTTCTGGGCACTGATGAGATGTCCCATTGCACCACTCTGGAAGGTCACATTCATTGATCTGAGGTCTACAGAGCTCCCCTGATGGCATGAACTTGCAGTCTTTGCAACAAAGCCCGAAAGCACAAGCAGCCCCAGGTCTTAGAGTGCAGTTCAACAGACAACAGGGATCTTGTTCACACTGCTTTATAGATCCACAGTCACACTTCTCTTCTCCTTCAATCACACCATTCCCACAGCGCTTCAGCATGAAGACTTCCCCTGGAATTGGAGGATTGTGCAGACATGATCCCTGGTTTAAAGTGGTCTTTGTAAATTCTGCATAGCTACAATTCGTGAATCTCTCTGCTGGCAACCTGATAGCATTCATGATGCAAGCTCTTTGTCCACACACACAGAATTCTTCATCATGCTGCATACCCAGAGTATGACCTAACTCATGAGCTACGGTGAGGGCAAAAACAGACCAGGGGTCTCCTTTGAAATTATTAACTCCACAGTCGAGAGGAGGGTGACATATTCCTGCCACATAGACTATAGCAAGGACACTTAAAAGTGAACCTTTAACAAAAATATGTGCAGCATCATACTGTAGCTCGGAAAGACTGATTTGTTTTCTCTGTCTTTATTAGTAATTTGTGTCCTCTCTCTCTGTTTTTAGTGTGG